CATAGACGACGCAATCTCTTCACGTGAAATGACGCAATCAATGACGTCAGAAACCTCTGAATATATGTTGTCAACGAAACCACTGTTGTTTGGCTTCTTTTTAATTGTAGGAGGAGACGATCTCTTGCAATAGTTACGCAATTCTCTCAAAATTATCAGTAGAATTACAAAAGATATTACTGATCCGCTTGTATAGAAAATAATTGCAAGATTAAATTTGGGAAGCGTATTATAACCATTTAAAGATACTAGGCTAGAAGATACTAGGCTGGATCTTTCATTTTCAGTCTTGTTACCTTCTACTGATACTATGATGGAACTTTGATTTTCAGGTACATCTGTTGCATGGACTTCTGTCATGGTCGGCATGATAGCAGTATCACGTTTTGTGCAAAAACTTCCTTTTCTGGAGACATCTGATTTAATAGGCTCTAGATTATAATGTGAAACAGTAAAATCATTGTACGTCATAGGTACTGTACTTAAACGTTTCTTTATAAATATATTAATAATTCACGTTGTACAGTAATTGTAAATTAATTTTCAATAATTTTTTTTTTTTAAATTCGATATGATTACCTGTTGAGAGTGTAAATGTACAACCATACGCATGGTTACAGTCTGTACAGTTACTGCATTTTAGACTACATAATGGTCCATAATATGGTTCAGGACAAAGATTAGATCAACTACATCCGAAATATCTGGGTGGATATTCTGAAAAGTAAACTTCTTCTTACTTCTAGGAATTTTTTTTAAACATATACATGTACATTGTTTGGAACAATTTTCGATTTTTACTATAAAATCATACCATATTCTTATTTCCTGTCAAAATGACGATTGATTGATTGATTGTATATTGTTCAACGTCTCTCTTGAGAATTTTTAACTCATATGGAGACGTCACCATATGCTGATGAAGGGCTTCATATTTAGACCTATACTCGGCACTCAGGGCCATTGAGCAGTGAGGGTTCTTTACCGTGCCAGCGCCTACCGTGACACGGGACCTGATGAAGATTTAAATATTTTTTCAGCTGAATCAAGTATTGCATACAACCTTTACAGATATTCCTATCCCCTGATCAATTGTCTTTCAGCCTAAATGATTCTTTGTTTATACTCTTCTTTTATGAAAAAAAATAATTAAATTTTAGAATAAATTGAAAAATTAATGTAAATAACCTACGAATCTTGACAACTTTCTACATTTCTTAGTGAGCAGATGGAAATCATATGACAGACAAGCGCAAAATATTTTATCATTCTTGATTTTAAACTGCATGGACAACTGTTACATCCAATGCTAAAAGTTTGCCTCTTGATTACCTTTTTATAGTAAACTTTCCTGCACATAAAGGATTAAAGTTTCATATTATACATATATCACATGGCTTCGAGGGTGCCGAAGGCAGAGGGTGACATAACACTTCAGGAAGGCAGAGGGTGACATAACACTCCAGGGCTTTCCTGTCACCGAGGGGCAAATATTCTGGTATAGTCGCCCGAGAAGCCATGTGGTATATGTTATATGACATTTTTAAAATTAAAAGAAAATTTTAAAATCATTCAAAATCGATAAAATGTACACAAATAATCCAAAAATGCCTTCTTGACGTCAAGAAATACGCTGTGTTGTTTACTTTTGCTTAGCAACCGACGTCAATAAATCTCGAACCCGAACTAAAATGCGTAACGTAAAAACACGTGAAGGTGATCGAAAGGCTGACATAACTGTTTCCGTCGGGGGTGACATAACTGTTTCCGGCGTGACATAACTGTTTCCGGTGTGACTCAGCATTTTTCAGGGTTTATAGCAAAACTTATTACATTTGTGATATGATAAGAAAACGTATTCAAAAATGTTATATAAATTTATGATTTACTTCCTGTTACAGCTTGTTGTCGCCAATATGGTACTGCATTTTGTTAGATTGTCTGCTCTAGAGGTGCAGCCTAAGGAGTTGGGTGTTCGAGTTTGACTGTGGGACTTAATGCTCAAAGGCCGTTAGTGCCGAGTCCAGATTAAAGGTTGCAGCTCTCAATCGGGAAATGCAAGTGGTGGCGTCTCTAAATCATGAGTGGAAATCTTGAGAGGGACTTTTTTAACATCAAACAAACGTCTTGTTAGAATTTATCAAGACAAGAATGTTTTAAGGAAATTATGAAATGTTTCTGAAGATCTTCTTACATATTTTATTTATCTAATTATATTATCAACGCCAAGCTATTATAACGAACACAAAGGAGATTGATTCTATGAATACTTTGAACATCAATAAATAGGAAAAAATGACAAAAGTATGCAAACAAAACACATTGTAATCTTTTTGCAATAGAAATGTACTAACATGACAAGCTCCATGAAATACGTAAAATTTGAGTTAATTTTTGAGAGTACATAATGAATTTATAATAAAAATGTCTTGTGGGATTAGTTCGTTGTTATTAACAGAAAAGAATCCCCATAACTTGCACTTTTAGATTTGCTTGAAATTATAATTATTTTTGTTCTAAATCAAAATCATAATTTATAATTTCAAAAATATTTCTACATAATAAACACGTGCATATTTCATGAATTATTTTTGTCTAAAGGATCTTTTTTTAATATTGAATATTTTATGGAATGCTCAAATGTTTCCCCGTAGATCTATTCATATTAAGCCCACAGACAACACATGCAGTTTGACCGCGAACTTCTCTTACATACATCTGTCTCGTATTTGTAACGTAACTTTTTTTTTAAATCAATCCTAGGCAACATATCAGCTCTGTTTGTTTCCAAAACTCAGAACTGAAAAAAAAAAAAAAAAAAAACATAATATTAAGTTTTAAATAATACAGATATAAATCTTTATCTTTAAATTAAAAAGATGTCATTTATAAAAAAGAATGTTCACAAATTCTTATACAAGACCTCATTGTTTGAGAAAAAAAAAGAAAATTGTAACCTTTGCTTTTTATGTCATTTTCTTTTAGAAAAATGAACTGAAGAAAACTCTCTCCTCAGCTAATTGCAAATAGGATAAAAGTGAATGTATATTACCGGCTAAAAAACTTTTCTCCTTCAACTTACATGTTATATTTTGTTGTGTGTTCGTTAACCATTTTTAACAACTTTATCCTTAAAGCAAAAATTAGGGTAAAGACTGCCTTTAACATCTCGCATTTCAGTCGTATGACAAAATAAAGACTGTCGATCTATCGGAGAATTTTTTGTTTTACTTTCAGGGATTTAAATGATGCTTAATAAATGTATTGATAAAAAAGAGCTTTTAATTTAAATAGTTCTTCCTTTTTGTGTGAATTTTCGAATGTGTCTGGTTTCAATTTATATAGAAATTTTCATTCAACCACACTCAAATGATAATAAAATAGGTATTAATTTCCTCCTGTTCATAGAAAGGACACAGTTTGCGCAAAACCATTATTTATTAAGCATTGTTACAAAGTCAACATTAAAGTATTATACAAGTAATCATGGGTAATTTTCAGCATTCGAGAGAAATCATGGTAGAATCTAAACTAACACAACTACACTAGACATTATGATAAAACATCACGCGGACAAACCAACACATACACACACACACTCACACACACATACACACAAAATTTACTAAATTTGAATTATGAAATAAAGCGACGTGGGTTCTGCCTCTGAGGATTTTCTAAGAAAGTGATGTTAACTGGCCAAAACATGGGTTGAATACAATTAACGCAATTTGATTGGGTGGCACAATGAACAAATTTAAAAATAAGCAAGTAAGCAATCTGATTGGATAACAGGGTCGCTTTACAAGAATAGAAAACCCCTCAATTTGATTGGTTAACTAATAGAATTGCCCTCCGGGCAGAACCCATCTTTAATTTAGCAAATAGATTCTTTCAGTGGAAGATTCCATTAAGGTAAAACGTAAACAAACAAAGAGCAAGTGAATACAAGAGACTACAGTGTAAATTAATAATCATTAAACAACTTTCATAACACTTAAATAACAACATATAGATTTCACAAAAAGAGAAAGAAATTAAATGATTTGTCAATAAGAAGGGGAAAGTTGTCGTCAAAGAGATGTTGTCTCTGTTGTTTCATTTACCAATACAAATCGGGTTAAGGTTGGACTAGTATCCTGGCTGGAGTCGTTCACTGCTACACGTATCTCTAGTTCCCTTCTGTTAAGCTCAGTGGAGCTCTGCACAGTCTCAGGAGAAAAGATTTCTTTGTTGCTTTCCTTTGTCGAGATTTGATGAAGAGTAATTTCATTTTGTTGATCAGGGCAATCATTAAAAATCAGTTTCTCTTTCTTAGTACAAAGGTCTAAAGTATTGTCCGCCTCAAACATAGATGTATGTAAAGACGATGTTTGTACGCCAATCTTTTCCTTCCCTCTAAATACAGTGCTATAAATACCTTTTTTGCTGTCATCCTCTAAGATTTCGGAAACCCCGCCGTTGTCATTACTATTCACGTTTAACATGGACGAGGCAAACTCTTCACGTGAAATGACGCAATCAATGACATCAGAAATTTCAAAATATATATTGTCTACGAATCTACTGTTGTGTGGCTTGTTTTTAATTGTGGGAGGAGATGATATCTTGCAAAAGTTATGTATTTCTCTCACAATTATCAGTAGAATTACAAAAGATATAAGTGATCCGCTTGTATAGATTATTATTGCAAGATTAAACTTAGGAGGAGTCTTATTACCATTTAAAGATTCTACACTGGAATTTTCATTTTCAAGTAAACCTGATGTGTTAATTGATGGCTTGGACGACGTGAGATCACTTGCAGGTCTAGGTCTAGAACTTCCTTTTCTATAGACGTTTGATTTTATATGCTCTAATAATATGAAACAGTATTTATTGAAATTTGCAACCTAAGTATTAAAACATTTCTCAATAAATTTATTAGTAATTCAAGTACTTGAGTGATATTATGAATTTTCAATACAAAATCTCAAATACTTGATATAATTACCTGTTGATAATGAACAACCATCAGCATGGTTACAGTTTGTACAGCTACTGCATTTAAAACCACATAACTTTCCGTTATATGGTTCAGGACAAATTTGAGAACAATTTGATCGGAAGTATCTGGGTGGACATTCTAAAAATTAAATTGCTCATTTATTTCTGAACCTTTGAAAATGTTCTCATACATTGTATGAGAACACTATGTCAATTTCTACTATAAATGCGTTACGTATCATGCATACATTTCTCATTTCTTACACAAAATAATTTAGATTATTTTAATTGCTTTATCAAGTATTGCATACAACCTTGACAGACATCCCCTTCCCTGTAAAAGTTTAAACAGCACACCCCTGATCCATCGTCGTTGAGTCTAAAAGTACCCTATGGATAAACTTTCCTTTTATGACACACACACACCTCAATTTTAAAATAAACAGAAAAATTTTTAAAAAATCTTACGGATTTGGACAAATGCCTTTATTTCCTTGAATACAATAGGATACCATTTGACAAACAAATGAAAAATATCTCCATTCCATTCTTGATGGTAGGATCATGAAGACAGCACAATCATTCACTTTGCTCTCTTTTTTAAATATGAAAAATGTATAAACAACTCTTGTCACATCCTATATGAATATTTAACAATCAACATTTTACAGAAAAATTTCCTGTATGTAAAATCAATGAATAACTTCCTTTCACAATTTATCAGAAAAATACAACGGCACTTCTTTTTTAAGTTTCTTTTGATTTAAAATGTTTCTTAAAAAGATGTAACGTGTATCATTGATATTTAGGACAGATGATACAAACAAAAAATGCATGCCTGGATAGGTATATATTTTTTGGCCTAAAAAAGATTGATACTATAATTACCTTGAACATTCATGAATTAAATAAAATTAGCTAATAACTGTACATGTAACATTCTGTCGATCATTCATATCTTATTATTGGCATTAGATGTTTTCCTCTATTACGCCAATTCTGAATTTAACTTGCATGACATTTTCATGTAAAATTGTGCTTGGAAATATAAACGGATAACCTCTTACTAAAGTGACGTCCAAATCATGCTAGAGAAAAATTACTTTTAGGAAAATTTACCGATATAGGGCCTAATGCATTATCTGCCTCAAACTTGCATTTTTGTAAAAGTTTCCCTGACCTTTCCTTTTTTGCACACAAAACTATCAATAAAGTCATTACAGTCAGCCTATAATATTTTGGAAACTCCAACGTTATCATTATTTATACCGTCAAACCTAGGCAAAGCAATCTCTGTACGTAAAACAACGTTATCAATGACGTCAAAGACCTCTGAATATACATTGTTCAAAAATACGCTATAGTCTACTTCGTCATAAATCCTTGAAGAAAAGGAAGATATCTTGCAATAGTTTAGTATTTTTCTAATATTATTTGAAGACTTACTCTAGGTTTCATTGATGAGAATGCGAATGCTTGAAACATAGGATTCATTTAATGCAAAGTAATCCCATATCCCATGACAACACCATGTCATATATCATTACCCAAAAATGATTTCAAAGTATCATGTATGTTTCTTTACGATAACCCAGGCTTTCGACTATCAATGGCAAGAACATAAACTATCCTAACGTTCAGTTCTGCCCTGATAAAGTAAATTTGCACCTGATACCGTGTTTGGTTGTGCATGAATTGGAAAAGTCCTTGCAAGATCATGCGGTAAACCATGAAGTTATAAGAAATTTGAACTGAATTGCTTAAAAAATTAACATGATTTTGTTTCATGAATTTAGAAAAAAAGGTAAGTGTTTAACTTTTTACATTTCATTTTTTCTGACAAAAGATGCTGTAGTTTGTTTAATCAATAGTAATAGTATTAATCACATAAAATACTTTGAATTTTTACATTAACTTAGGCTCTTCTTTTATTGAAAACCGTATTAATGTCCTTAAGCACACAAACATTAAGGTTGAACTGTGTGTGTTATCAGATGTCTTTTTTGTTTAGTTATGTAAGAAATATAGAATAAGAGAGTTTTGTTCTTTAGTTAAAAAACAGTCCATATTTCTCAATGAAACTCGATATGGCACATGTTGCTATTAAGTGCATTTCATATATAATCTGAAATTGCTTGGATACTAAAGAAATGAAAGACAAAGCAAATAATTATTTATATCTTACGAATATTGACAACCTTCTACGCTACTTCTTCGACTGCAGATTGGGATCATATGAAAAACAAAGGCAAAATGTCTTGTCATTCTTGATGAAGAATTATTCAATATACACGATTATTAACTTCGCTCTATCTTTAAATTTAAAAAAAAACTGAAAGAACACCTGCTACTTCCATTGCTAAATTTTGGCCGTCAATCAACGTTTTCTAGTAAAATTTCCTGCACATGAAGGATCAAAGTTTAAAATAAATAAATTATTTACTTCCCTTTACAGTGTGTCAGAAAATATATCGAGAAATATCTACAACACTTTTAAACATTTTAAAACGAAATTATAACATGTTTATAAAGAAGTCGTTACACGAAGGTCGTTATTAAATAATGCAACATGTCATCTAAAAGAAAGAAAAGTGCGTAATACATATTCTAAATAGTTGCAATCCCTCAAGGCATTCCTTGTTATTCTTTACACATGTCTAAGGTCTTCATATCCATTAACAGAAATTCTTAGCATACTCATATTTAGGGATGCCTCAAAGACACTGATGAATATCATTTTTCAATACATATCTGACATTGTACAATCTTCTTTTGATTAATTTTATTGTTTTGGGAATAAAAAGATCCCACAGTAGTTTCGAGATGATTGAAAAGTCTTGTATACTTTCGTTTCTTCAATATTCTATTTATTTTTCTAACCGTATAATTATGTAGCTGCGTTGCCATGTACAAGAAATATACCCTGGTCACCGAATTTTGGGCATCTTTTGAAGGAAATATGTTCAACTTTTTTGTGCAATTTAAAGATAAAATTTACCATTGCTAGTCCTTCATTTTGATGTTTGTACATTTTTAATGTTTGGAGACATTGCTTCTCTTTAACATAATTAAATTGCACCCTTTTTTTTTTATTTCAATTTCCTCATCATTAATATTATTTCAGGGCACCCAGGTCTCGTTATACATTAAGCAAGTTTATTAAATCGTCTATTTTGTTTAAATGTTTGTTTTAAATAAACCGTTGGCCCATTTTACGAATGCTTTCTTTTGGACATTTGTTAGAAAATAGGGCACCTATCAATTGAAATATTATTATATGTTTTTCCTTTATAAGAATTCTACAAAATGCTGCGATGATTAAATCTTTAGTATTTCAACAATGTCTTTCCATTTAAATATAACATTTTCAAATTTCATATGACACTTACAGTCGAAATTTTCGGTATACCCACAAATTTCAATTGACCATATCGACTGTTATATTTGAACTTTTGTTTTTTCTGAATTATTGAATCCATCTGAAAAGTATACAGTGGTAAATATAATTTTTCTACAAATAAATATCATATCTTGAAATGAGGTTCTCGGCGATTTGTGTTAAAAAAATCGCAATTTTTAAAAACGCTTTCATTTTCACCTTCTTGGCAGAGATAATTTATAAAGAGTTTTCAGCTCAGTGTAGTGACCATGCTTACTTTAAAAATAGATTTCTTATCAAATACGATAAGAAAACATTTGATATAATCTATGTTTACGAGATCTTTAATAGAAATTTTCATATATGAAAAAATCACATCAAATGCCTCAATATTTATTGTGATGAACTGTGTATTGCATTACATATTTAACGACCGTACGCGTCGTTTATTTCATTTATGTAATTAACCAATTAATGTTGTTTAAAAAAGTATACGATAGACATTAATACTATAAATACTTTGAACATCATTAACAAGATAACATGACAAAATCTGACAACCCAACCACAAGCAATTTTTTTAAAAATAAAAATCTGCTCACTGACATGCGTGACAAGCTCCATCAAATAACCAAATTACTACTTTATTACTGTTATAATTGTAGAATTTTGCATTGAGATGCTAGTGTTGTCATATTTATCTCCATGAAGACAGTAGAACTGAGTACATACTTGATGTAGGGTAGCTAGTAAATATGAAAATCATTATTACACTGTGATTGCTCGTGACCTCAATAAAACCCACTTACTGAGAATTATAGCATACGCTGACTCAGTGGCAATTGTTTTGATGTATATATTGTATTTATGATAATAAGTAAAAACTCAGCAATTATTAAACTCATTCTCTAGAAGCAATTGCTATTATTGTGGAGGGGTTCATAATGTATAATGGTCAGCTATGAGGTAACCAATATGCAGTTCAAAGCATTGCTCACAGATGTTAGAGAAGCATACTATATATTCATCAAAGAAAAAAATTACCAACTACATGTACAGAAGTTCATCTGTGGTTGTTACATGTTCAATCAATTATATAAGAGAAAAAACTTGTATTTAATTTGCATTTAATTTATTTCATCATATATATGTCGTACGTTTTACTATGTTGTGTCTTTAACAAAAATAGGTTTCTTCTGTATTAAATTTAGATTAAACTGCATTTAAATAGCATATTTCAATCACATGACGAAATAAGGACAGCTAAGGTTTTTCTGAGGATTTTTCCTTATAATTTAAGGTTTTTCTTAAAGCTGTTTTAGAACAAATTGAGAAAATTTAAAGCTTTTAAAAAATGTAGATAATCTTGGCTGTTTTATTAAAATGTTCGAATGCATCTTGTTTCAAGTTATAGAGAAATTTTTATTCTACCATGTTCAAACAACTATACATCTGGTAAAATAACAACATATGTTTTGCATCGAAAGAGAAAGAAATACAATGAATGACAGTAGGTGGGGAAAATGACATCAAAGAGGTGTTGTCTCTGTTGTTTCATTTACCAATACAAATTAGACATATGGACAAGTATCCTGACTGCTGTCGCTCATTGCTACCTCTATTTCTCTTCCGTTCAATTAAGTAGAGCTCTGCAAAGACTCTAAAGATATGATTTCTTTGTTGTTTTCCTTTGCGGAGATTTGATGAAAATTAATTTCATTTTGTTGGTCAGGGCAATCATTCATAAAGGTTATTTTTATCTTATTAGTATATAGGCCTAAAATATTGATGGCCTCAAACCTAGATGTTTGTATAGATAATGTTGGTTTGGCAGTCTCTTCCTTCTCTCTATAGCTACATGTAAATACAGTGCTATAGATACAGTCTCTACAGTCACCCTATGAGTTTTCAGAAGCTCCATCTTGGTCATTACTATTTACGTTTAACATAGATGAGGCAATCTCTTCACGTGAAATAATGTTATCAATGACATCAGAAACTTTGAAATATGTTTTCTACGAAACCACTGTTGTGTGGCTTGTTTTTATTTGTTGGAGAGGACATCTGGCAAATGTTACGCATTTCTCTAATAATTATCAGTAGAATTACAAAAGATATGAGTGATCCGCTTGTATAGATAATTACTGCAATATTAAATTTAGGAGGACCATTTAAAGATACAATACTAGGACTTTCATCT